CCTCTCCCTTTTCCTCCCCTCTCCCTCTCCCTCTCCCCTCTCCCTTTTCCTCCCCACTCCCTTCCCTGCACCTCCCACTCCCTCGCCCTCCTTCTCCAGCCTCAGCAACCACTTTAGAGAAATTCCTACTTGCTGTTGCTGAAGCCGAGAAGTTGGTTGAGTCAGCGCTGCCAGAACTAAGACCGACTTGATTGCCTTCACAGTTTCTGAGGCAAGAGAGGAGCGAGCGAGGCGAAGGGAGGGAGAGGGGCGAAGATGGGTTGGAGGGAAGGAAGGAGGGAGGGAGGGAGGGAGGGAGGGAAGAAAGTGGGAGGGAGCGAAAGAGGGGGAGGGTGAAGGAGAGGCAGAAGGAGAGGGAGAAGGAGAGGGAGAAGGAGAGAGAGAGAGAGAGAGAGAGAGAGAGAGAGAGAGAGAGAGAGAGAGAGAGAGAGAGAGAGAGAGAGAGAGAGAGAGAGAGAGAGAGAGAGAGAGAGAAGGGAGAGAGAGAGAGAGAGAGAGAGAGAGAGAGAGAGAGAGAGAGGGAGAAGGAGAGGAGAGAGAGAGAGAGAGATAGAGAGAGAGAGAGAGAGAGAGAGAGAGAGAGAGAGAGAGAGAGAGAGAGAGAGAGAGAGAGAGAGAGAGAGAGAGAGGGAGAGAGAGAGAGAGAGAGAAAGAGATAAGAAGGATGAGAGGGAGAAAGAGAGAGAAAGGGAGAGGGAGAGGGAAGGGTGATGGAGGAGTCGGGATTCCGTCCATGTTTGGGATTTCTCGGGTCGCGACGTCGAATGTTTGGCGGATTTGCTGTGCGGGCGCCGTCCTCCTCCCGCAGGCAGTGTTGTGAATGCTCGGTGGCCAAGGACGGCGAGAGAGGGAAAGGGGATGGGAGGAGGAAAGGACAGATGAGGGGAAAGAGGCAAAGGGGAAGAAATGGCGATAGAGATTTTTATTTTTTTATTTTTAAAGAGAACAGTGCATTTGATAGGACACTCATCTTTCGGTTCTCAAACAAAGGATAATCCTGGGTACAGAATCAGGCACGGAAAGTCCTATTTTCTTTGTTATATCAGGATGATTAAACTATTTTTTTATAGTCTGCAATAGCTTATACAACCTTGAATAGGGGCACAACATCAAAACATATAAATGCACCTTCCCGTCATCAATATTTTTTTTTTTTTTTTTTTTTTTGCTATAACCGATCGCTATCATTTATGGATGAGAACAATATATGATAATTATACATTCAAATGATGGTATACATAAATATATATATATTTTTTCCAGACCAACATTTCTCTTTTATAGATTTTTTTTCTCTATCATATATCATTTGTGAAAATTAAAAAATGATAATTTGGGTTGTGAATGACATTACTCTATCCGAGTTACTCCCTTGGTAATTCGGATAGAAATGAGTCGTTTATGAAGCATGTCGTGTGTGTATGTTGTGTGTGTGTATCAGGATATGGATATGAAGATGATTCAAGATCCCTAGAAAATACGGACACACATCACACAGCCATACACACACACACACACACACATACACACGCACATATGCGAACACACACAGGAACACACATTCATGCGAACACACATACACACACAAGCTCTTTCTCTCTCTCTCTCTCTCTCTCTCTCTCTCTCTCTCTCTCTCTCTCTCTCTCTCTCTCTCTCTCTCTCTCTCTCTCTCTCTCTCTCTCTCTCTCTCTCTCTCTCTGACTCTCTCTCTCTCTTTCTCTCTCTCTCTCTCTCACTCTCTCTCTCTCCCCCCCTCTCTCTCCTCTCTCTCTCTCTCTCTCTCTCTCTCTCTCTCTCTCTCTCTCTCTCTCTCTCTCTCTCTCTCTCTCTCTCTCTCACTCTCTCTATCTCTCTCTCTCTCTCTCTCTCTCTCTCTCTCTCTGACTCTCTCTCTCACTCTCTCTCTCTCTCTCTCTCTCTCTCTCTCTCTCTCTCTCTCTCTCTCTCTCTCTCTCGCTGCCCCCGTTTCTCTCTCTTTCCATTTCTGATTCAACTAGGAAAAGATTACAGGAGATCTCCGAGACTTAATCCATAAATCTTATTTACTTTTCCCTCATAATCCTATTTAATTATCAAATCTAATTTATTTCCCCAAAAGGAGGACAAGACCATCAAACCCACGGGTCGAGTTTGTCATTTTTTTGTGTATTTTCATTGATTTTTTTTTCTTTCTATAACTTTTTTTTTTTTTTTACTGGAACTATTTTTTTTTATGTTACTATTTTCCTTGGATTATTTTTTCCCTGTTGTTATTTTTCTAGAAGTATTTTGTTTTTGTTTTTCTAAAACTTTCTTCGTGGCGCTATTTTACTGGAATGATTTTCTCGGAACTATTTTCCTGGAACTATTTTCCTAACACCGACCATTTCCATATGAACTTAACATTCAATTTTCCAGCCCTGGTTCCGCCCGGCTGGCGTGGCTGGCTCGTCAGCACCCACATTTTCCCCTCGTAATACAGTCCCGACTCAGCAATCACTTCCCCCCCCCCCCCTACAAAACCTACAGATTTGCATATAGACCCAATGACTCCCCACAATAATCAGCAGACCTCCGGAGCCCCTCAGGAAGTATAAAATTACGGCAAAACATCGCCTGCAACCCTGTAATTTGTGTGGGCAGCCGACCATCCTCCCTGTCTCCCTGCTCCCCTCGCCCTTGCGCGCTCCTCTTCCCCTCTCCCTTCCCCTCTCCCTTCGCCTCTCCCTTCCCCTCTCCCTTCCCCTCTTCCTTCCCCTCTTCCTTCCTCTCTCCCTTCCCCTCTCCCTCATATTCCTAACGCTCCGCTCTCCTCTCTGCCTTGGTCTTCCCCTACATCCTCTCTCTTGCATTCCCTTCTTCTCCTCTCTCTTGGCCTTTCCCTACATTCTCCTCCTTGCACTCCCCTCTTCCCTTCTCCCTTCCCCTCTCCCTCGTATTTCCCCGCTCCGCCCCCCCCCCCTATCTCCCTTACACTCCCCTATTCACCTTTCCCTTTCCCTGCTCCAGTCTCTCTGGCGCGCCCCTCTCCCCCTCTCCTCCTCTCCCCCTCTCCCCCTCTCCCTTCGTCTTCCGCACCCTCCCTCTCCTTCTCCCCTCCCCCCCTCCCCTCCCCAACACTCGGCGGAAAATAAGAGACGGAAGGAAGGACTGAGAAGTGAAGCCTTCCCTCCCGCCGCTGCACAATGCGCTCGGTGTTTTGAAGCTCACTTAACATGGCCATTATTGTTCAGTGTTGTTCTACTGTTGTTCTTCGGAAATCAAGCGAGGATAAGCAAACGGTTATGCATTCGGCGCAATTGTGCAGCTGGCAACTCGTGTCCGTTTGTATGTATGTCCGTTTGGATTAATTTCTTCCTCCATGAATGTGTGTATATCTATATCTATCTATCTCTCTATCTATATATGTGAGTGTGTATGTGTGTGTGTGTGTGTGTGTGTGTGTGTGTGTGTGTGTGTGTGTGTGTGTGTGTGTGTGTGTGTGTGTGTGTGTGTGTGTGTCTGTGTGTGTGTGTCTGTGTGTGTGTTCGTGTGTGTGTGTGTGTGTGTATGTGTATGTGTGTGTGTGTGTTGTGTGTGTGTATGTGTGTGCATGTAAGTGTATTTGTAGGTGAAACAGCACGGAGTCCCTCTCAAGACACCCCCCCCCCC